CCGGGTCCGTGGGTCTTGATATTCCTCCTGGGAGACCTGTCCACTCCCCTCTGCCTCAGGGCCGCCTGGAGCCTTGCCATCTGTCCCCAAGTTGGCCGTCAGGGGGTGTGGACCTGCCCTTTTTGCCCAGGCTTCTCAGCAGACGAGACTGCAAAGCACTGGCCCTGGTGCTGCTCAGAGGGCAGGGTCTGTGTGAGCCCTCTCTCAGCCCCCTCCCGTCCTGGATGCTGGAGAGAGGCCTGCGGCCTGTTCTCCGCCGTGCGGCCTCGTTCCCTGGACAGAAGGCCGTTGCCGTGGACGGACGTCTGCACTCTAGAGCGGGGCGGGAGTGTGCTCCGCCTGGCGGCCGTGTCCCTGCTCCTGACGGCCTCGGGTCTGCTCTGCGCAGGGGTGTTCCTGGGCCTGGGCTTGAGCGGCGTCGTGCCCACCATGCACTTCACGATCGCCGAGGGCTTCGTCAAGGCCACCACCGTGGGCCAGATGGGCTGGTTCTTCCTCATGGCCGTGATGTACATCACCGGAGCCGGCCTCTACGCTGCCCGGATTCCCGAGCGCTTCTTCCCGGGGAAGTTCGACATCTGGGTGAGGAGCACGCTGCTGGCGGCCCCCGTGGTCAGGGAGCGGCACCCAGTGGAAAGCCTGGGTCGGGGGGGTGAGAGCAGTGGGCCCCTGTGCCGTGTGGGGGGCAGGGATGAATGTGGGGCCGCTGGCGGCGGTAACCAATAGGGACGTTTTGGTTTATTTCTGACATGACTTTTAGAAAACTTTCTATAACAAAAGTATCACTTCCACAGTAATGAAACTTCAAGGAGAAAGTGGATGAGGTGAGAGCTCTCCCCTCCTCATTTCCGATCCCTCCTGAGACTTGTCTCCTGTCCCCACAGTTCCAGTCGCACCAGATTTTCCATGTCCTGGTGGTGGCAGCGGCCTTCATCCACTTCTATGGGGTCTCCAACCTCCAGGAGTTCCGCTACGGCCTGGAGGGCGGCTGCACCGATGACTCCCTCCTCTGAGCCCGCCCCCCACCCCCCGGGGCCAAAGGGGAACTTCCCAAGTGCTTTTAAAAATAACTTCTTCACTGAAGCAAGAAGAGGCGTCCGAGTTGTCTGTTTCTAGAAGAAACCTCTTAGCAAATTCAGTGCCAGCCAGGCTTCGGCCCCCCCACTAGCCCCCTGGGGTGGGGGCCTCAACTCCCCGGGCCCCTCACCGAGGAAGGGGGTGTGCACTTGGCCGTGGCCCTGGGCAGCCCCTCCTCGGCAAGGCGGCTCGGCCCCTCGCACAGAGCACCGGAGCTCCCTCCCGTTGAGAGTCTGCCCTCCTCCAGCCACTTCAGGGGAAAGTGCCGGACTGGGGCTCCTGGGAATCCTGTTTCTGGAAGACAACGCCCCCCTTACCCCCGTCCTTACTTGGTAACCTGGCTTAGAACAGGCCACCCATTTTGTAGCACACTTTTCAGAAACGATGGTGCGCCGGTCCCGTCTCTCTGGGGCCTGGACCCACGGACGGCAAGGACAGTCACCAGCTTGGGTGTAGCCCGGCTCATCCTGGGAGTGTGTCCAGGCTTCAGAGGAGTTGAGTTTTAATTTTTTTTTGGCAGAGTAATGTAAAATTAAAATGGGGAAAGATATTTAATATTTAATACTAAGCTTTAAAAAGAAATCTGCTATCGTTGCTATGTATCTTGATGCAAAGACTATGATGATAATAAAAGGAAGTAGAGAGACAGCATTCGAGATTGAACACATGTGGTCTCAGCGCTTTGCACAGAACTCCGCGGGGCTAACACTGGGGCTGACACCTCGGGTTCTGCTGAGGCACAAATCTGAGCCCCAGGCACTGGCGGGTTGGCATGTGTGTGTGCCAAGGAAGGGGCCCCGTTGAATGCAGCATCAGCTCCTCCGCACAGCCTTGTTTTTCTCTGCTACTGCACAGTTTTACTAGAGAAACTGCTATGCTACAGTATCATTTAACAACAGCTAGATCTCTGTTGGGACACGTCCCGTCCCTGCGAGTATGAAGGGTCTGCTCCTTGTCCCTCTAAGGTCCTGTTCTCTGAGGACGGCCTTGCTGAAGGGAGTCCCATCAGGAGCAGGTCATTCCCTGCTTTTCTGTGCCTTTGCTGCTGTCCTTGGCCCAGGGTGACCGCCCTGCCACCCCAGCAGGCACTTCTGAGCCAATGCAGGGCCTCTTAGTGGGTGACAAAGAGGAGCTCCTTCCAGGTGGAGCTTGTACGGCTGGGGGACAAAATGATCCTTTAAAAAAAGCAGTCCAACCAGGCCGACACACGGGACGATTCTCAACCTCAGTGGCAGTCGGGGAAATGCCAGTCAGAACCAGAGTGATGAACCGTTTCACTGCCAGGTCGGACAGATGAGAAGTCCTGACTGTCGTGCAGACGCAGAGCAGCCAGGGACGGTGGAGGTGGGGCCGGTCCGTGCGGTGCGTGGACGACACGCACACGGGCGCAGCCTCCGAACGTTTCGTGAAATACCTCACGAGGCGCATCTGAGGTTCACCCTAAATCACTTCGGTTTTAAACGTGCCGGTTCCGTCCCACTGGGCCGTTTCACCATCCGTGCACAGCTCTCAGCCCACACTCGGAACTCCACTGCCCTTGAGGAACTTCCTTGTGTCGGGAAGCTCCTTGCAGCCAGAGGCAGTGGCAACACTGCGCTCGAGCCAGCGTCCAGGCTGCCCGGCGGGCAAGTCAGTCCTGGCCGCTTCGCACAACGAAACACTGCTCAGCAGTGGGAGTCAGTGGCAGGGACGAGCAACTGGCAGGACATAACGGGTCTGGTTGCATTTCCGTGAAGTTCAGAAATCTGCAGGACTAATGACAGCTTAAGGACACATGTGTGGTAGGATTTAGAAAGGAAATACTAATCCTGAAAATACGGTTGCCCCTGAAGACAAGAGTAGGAAGCGAGGGACACCCGGGGGCATCTCGGGACCGCGGCTTACGTTCTCTCTGACCAGATGGCGGGGGCCTGGGCGTTCCTTAGGCTGTGGTCATTTCTCTTGCATATGTGTAACGAGCACATTTAGTAAAAAAACTTTAAGTTTTAAAAAAGACTTGAGCTGACAGAAGCCACAGTCGTTCATACACGCTCTGCGGCCTGCAGTGGGCAGTTGGTGGCAGCTGTGTCCTTTGGGAAGGGTGTGTGCCCTGGCCACCATCCTCCCTGCCCGGCCACTCGGTCCCGTCTGGTCCAACCCGTCCATTTCCTGCACGAGGAAGCATGGAGCTCCCCAGCAAGTGGTGAGGTCCTGTGCTAGGCAGTGCAGGGGGAGGAGTCAAGGATGAGCCGAGAATCTGAGTCTACCCCTTTCCTACCTGACATCTCTACCTAGAAAGCATCCGTTTTCAGTTAAAAAATAGAACTTTGGGAACATTAATAAAACTCTTAAATTATGGTAAATGGGTAATACCCAAAGAAACTATTGAACACTTAGTTGGCTCCTCAGGGAGCATATGCCAAAATTAAGTGTGCGAGGATTTTAATTAGGGGAAATGTGTAAATGAAAACAGGAAGGGGCCAGAGAAGGCTGGGGACCCTTCAGACTCTGCCTGGCTGGTTTAGAGATTTGACCTGTGCTCCATGGACCTGCTGCAGAGCTCCGAGGCCAAGTTCTTCACTCGAACCCTTCAGTGGCTACAAACACGCAGCGTCAGCCAGAACATGCTAGGACCGTGCCCCTGAAAACAACACAAGCTTGAGCTAGTCCCCTGGCTGTGTTGTCGTGCTTGCTGGCAGCTTCTGCACCTTTTATTCCTGGAAAAGCCGTGGGCCACCGTCTAAACAAAGCCTCTTTTATTAAGCTCTTTCTCACATTGGAAAGTTTTGATTTAGCATTCACATCCAGAAAACAAGGATCATTTTCAAATTGTTCGAATTCATTTCAATTCACGGAAAAGTTCAAAAGGCACAAAAAGGAGGAAAAAAATCTCTCTCCTGTCTCCCACCCAACCAGTTCCTCTCTCCAAAGAAACATGTTACCACTTTATTTCGTATCTTTCCTAATGTACTTCATACATATACAAGCAAATACGAATCTATTTTCCCAGCCTTTTTATACAAATAATAGCGAACTATGCACACTGTTCACAACCTCATGGTACTGGATGGGTGGATGCACTTGACGGAAACAGTCCCCTACCCATGGACACTGACGTTTTGATCTAACCTACGAAGGACCTGCACACGCGTCATTGTACGAGAGTAGCTACGAAGGATGGGTTCATCAACATCGCTGAAAAGGGACATCTGCATGCATAACTTTGGTGAATTTTTCCAATCTGCCCCCTACGGAACCTGCACCCACGACGTCAGGAGTCCTTTTAGACCAGACTGATGACGTGAAAGATGGAAACACTATGTAGAATGAGGCTGCTACCCGCTCAGCCACGGTTTTATTACCCTAAGGCATCAAAGGCCCCACGGAGGAAAGGGACCTCGTCCGTCCGTCCCCCCCCCACCCCCACCCCCCGAGCCACTAAGCTAACTGCACCCAAGTGGATAAGAAGCCACCTTTGCAGAGTGCGCGCCCGGCGCCGGGCGCGGCCACGTCAGGACTCCCCGAGAGGGGCGCTGGAGATCCAGGCGCCCACCTTGCAGGGACCGCGGGTGCTGGCCGGTCCCCTTGTGATGCACGGCGTGCTGAGGCCAGGGGCTCAGGGTCCGCGGGTCCCCACGCGGCTGTCCGCCAAAAGGCCACCATGGGCCGTGTCTGCGGGAACGGGAAGCCTCTCGGTTTTTCTCGGGGGCAGCCGGTTCCCGAGTCCCCGGCGGGGAAGACATCTCCACCCTCAGCTCCGCGGCTCGGGAACCGTCGGCGTCCTCCGTCCGAGGGACAGCGCGCGAACCGGGATACCCACAGTCCGCCCTCCCCACCCCGACCCACTGGCCACTCCTCCAGGGCCTGCGGATCACGTGAAGAGGTGGCATCACGTGACGAGGCCCGGGCGGGAGGGGCGGCCTCCCGCATTGAACGTCATCACGTCGCGCGGCCGCGGGGCCGACCGGGCCGAGACGAGCGCGGCGACGGCTCCGAAGCGTCGGGTCCGGGCGGCTGCGGCGGCGCCTGGGCTCCCCCAGCCTGAGCCGCCTGGGCCGCGCCCCCCTTGACCCCACCCCGCGGGCCGGCGCAGGTGAGCCGACGGGAGGGCGGCGCTCGGCGTGCTGTCCCTGTCCGCCGGTCGGGCCCCGCCCCGCGTCGCCTCCCTCCTAGGGGACCCCGGAGGGGCTCTCAGCCGGCGGGTGTCGTCCGGGTCTTCCCCCCGTTTCCTCCCCTGGGTTGGAGCCGGTCCGGAACCGGACCGGTGGTTCTGGGAGGGGTGCTGCTGTCTTCGCCCGGCGAGGGTGCAGCCCAGTCCAGGCCGAGCCCGCGGGACCCCGGGAAGGCTGCACAGCCCGAGTCTCTGCTCAGACCCTCCTCCTCCTCCGCAGAGGCGCCCAAGTTGGTAAACACCATGCGCTTCGGTGACTCACCTCCTGTTCCCTAACGCGGATTCCCCTGGAGGGGCGTCGGGGGTAATGAGAAGGCAGCCGCGAGGATTTGAGATGTCGTTAGGGCTGTGACTTCTGGACGCTTATGATTATTTTTTAGAAGCATTTCAGAAAGTTTTGGGTTCCAAATAAAATAGAGTCTCTTAATAACCTCATTTCACTCCTCAGAAGTCGCTGAAGAAAAAAAAGTAGTATGACGAGAGCTTGTCAACAATCGAGGAAGTACTTCTTGTGTTGATTTTTTTATACGTAATCTATCTCTGAGTTCATTTAACTGACGTGTACAAGTGAACTTCCCGAGTGACTGGCTGTGGCAGAAAATTAGCAGTGAGTTTCGATGTGTTTCTGCCCTAGTAAGGCTCTTTGTTCCGGGATAGGAGGGTTTCTGCAAAGACTGATTTGCTGATGTCGATGGAGGTCAACTAGTAAAGGAGAGGAGGAAGACGGATCCGTGAAAGCCCCTAGGCAGGCCTGGGTGTCCCTTGGTGAGCGTACTTGGGAGCATTGGTACATAATTAATTTTCTGCATGCTTCTCTGGAAAAAAAATATTTTCACTGACTCCAGCTTCGACTGCTGTAAGTTGAATGCGCAGTTTTTCTTTTCTAATATCTGTTTCCTGCGCTTACTGTGCACCCGCTGGGATAGAAAAATGCACAGCAGAGGCCCCGCCCTCTAAATACTGGCCCATTTGACCTGCCAACAGCCAGGTCAGCGATACCGGCACAGCCGTTAAGCAGTGTTGCCGTCACCGTTTGGTCATTTCCGACAGCAGCCTGGTGAAGGTCTGCAGGACACGGATGGCTCCTGTGCATCGATGACAGGGAGCATCCGTGGCAGGGTGCTGCGGGGACTCGGAGACAGGAGATCATCCTTGGGACAGTTAGTGGCCGGACGGTGGTGGTAATGCCAGGAGTAGGATGCCCTCTACCCAGCGCGTGGCTCTCAGGAGGCTTCCTTAACTCGTAAAACTACTCAGAAATGGTCCGTTTCTCCAGTCCTTCAAACATGCTCATTGTGCGCTAGCTAGTGTGGCTCAGGGGCTGGGCGTCACCCTCGAACTGAAGGGTTGCCGGTTCGATGCCCGGTTAGGGTGCACGCCTGGGTTGCTTGCAGGCCAGGCCCCCAGTTGGAGCAAGAGGCAGTCGGTCAGTGTTTCTCTCACACGTCAATGTTTCCGTCTTTCTCCCTCCCTTCCCTCTCTCCATAAATAAGTAAGTAAGTAAGTAAAATCTTCAGAAGAAGATAAATATTCAGATGTGCTCATTGTTTTTTCCTCTTGAATTTCCAGAATCCAAGAGCCCCTTTTGCCATTTCTCCAAGTTGCTTGATGGGAGGCATGATGGCCCCCAGAGACATCATGACGAACACGCACGCCAAGTCCATCCTCAACTCGATGAACTCGCTCAGGAAGAGCAACACCCTGTGCGACGTGACTCTGCGGGTGGAGCAGAAGGACTTCCCCGCCCACCGGATCGTGCTGGCTGCCTGCAGCGACTATTTCTGTGCCATGTTCACCAGTGAGGTGAGGCACCTGCCCGCGGGGCCCCCTGTGCCAGGGAACGTGGCCGATGGGCAGGCTCTGGTCACAGTCTGCCACTTGCCGCACCTCAGTTGCCTCACCTCTAAATTAGGGATAACCGTGATACCTAATGACATTCAGTTACTGTGACAGTTATTGACAAAATTACGTACAAGGTGCTTAGAACAGTGCCTGGTATGTGGTAACACACACAATATCAGATTTGGATGTTACTTGTTTTCTAAATGTTTTCCTGTTTTTCTCCTTGTAGAGTTTAATGCTTTAAAGTGAATCCAGGGGAAATCAGGAGGAGGGAAGGACAGAGGAGTGGGGTTCAGCCCTCACCCCACCCCGTTTAACAGCGCGTGAAGCAGGGCAGCATTCACTCTGCCGACGCGAGTTTTAGAGTAACTCCCAGCAAGAGCAGGAGGACTTGGCGAGGGCTGTGCAGGTGTGTGGGGTCACACCTGGAAAGGCGCTGGCTCTGGGGATAAGCAGTTAACAGAGGGTGAGGAGCAGGTTGACCTGACCAGAGAGAAAGTGCGCTCAGGAAGCAGGACGAGAGACTGCTGTAGGCGCCAGGGAAACCCCGCAGGTGCAGAGTGAGGCTGTAGAATGCATTATGAGGTGCCCTTAGAGCGCTGACCAGCGGGGGGCGCTGTTGGGAAAACTCTTCGCGGCTGGAGGCTGGAGAAAGCAGCTGGCGACTCCGCCCTTACCAGTGCTTCTTTGGGGAGCTTCCACAGGGGCCTGCCACTGGCCGCCTCCGAAGGGGGATAAGGAGCAGGGAGGAGGGATGGGGGTCAGCTGCCTGCGGGGCGAGGCCAGGGCCTGTTCCAGGGCCAGGTAGGGGGTCATCAGAGGTCTCTGAGGGGGTTTCTGGAACCTAGCAGGGTTTTCACAATCCCTGACGCTTGTTTTCAAGATCTCAGGTCTGATTTTTAATTTTTAAATAAATTGTCTTGATGCTTCTTTTCGAGCCCGAGTGTTGAGTACAGCACTTACACCTATGCCTGAAAAGTGGTAACACTTTTTCTTAAGATTCTATTTATTTATTTTTAGAGAAGAGGGGAGAGAAGGGAGAGAAACATCCGTGCGTGGTTGCCTCTCCTGCTCCCCGCACTGGGGGCCCGGCCTGCGACCCAGGCCTGTGCCCTGCCTGGGGCCGAACCAGCGACCCTTGGGTGCCGAACCAGCGCCCCTTGGGTGCACGGGCCGGCGCTCAGTCCCCTCAGCCACACCAGCCGCGGCACACTTTCTAAAAATCTGTTTCACCACTAGTTTTCTTCCGCTGACCCTGTCGCTCAGTGAAGGTGCTGCTGGACTGTGTTCGGTGATGGCTCCATGCCATTCGCCTGAGGGCTGCGTGTTACCACCTCATGCATTTGTTCCTTTTTTGTTTCCTTTTCAACCACCTCCTTTTACAGCGAGGAAGCAAGGCTGCAGACAGCTGGCGACTTGCCGAGAGCCCCGCGGCTTGCGGGCGGCAGAGGTGGGGTTGCGTCCTCGCGTTCCTGACTGGAGCGCACAGAGCTTTCCGCTGCGGCGCCTCTCAGGCCCTGGCATGCGGACTCGCCGTTCACGGCCTGACTCGAAAGCCGGGGTCTCGGGTGGCGCTCTGAGCCGGCACTCAGCCATCGCTGGTGGGAAAAAGTCGGGGGCCTGACAGGTCCTCTGGCCAGGCCAGTTTTCAACGTTCGTGGGCCGTGACGTCGCAGGTCCCCGTCCTGTGCGGTCCCCCACGGCGTCCGCCCGATGCCTCAGGAGGGGTGGTGGGCCGGGCGTGATGTGCGAGGGGCCCGGGCCCGCCAGCCCCGGCTGTGCGGCCCCGTCCTGCTCAGCTCGAGAGAAGCGTCTGTGTTCACTCCTCTTCCGCGCACTCAGACCTCCGTGTGGGCTTCTGTAAAAGGGTTCGTTCCTTTTTGTTCTGATCAGTGATTGTTTTATGGTCCTGTTTAAAAATTGGCATTGGCCACGGAAACGTGTCAGACAGCTCAGTTGTGTCACAGCGGAAGGCCCCTTCGATGACCTGCGCGTCCCTGTCTGCCGTCACCACATGCGGTCCAGGGACAGGGAAGGCGGTGCTGGGGGGTCCTCTACAAGCATGACATCTTCCTAAATTTTTTTTTTTTACCTTAAAAGCTCGGTGGTATGTTTGTGGAAGTGTCGCATTCTGTTCTGTGTGATATGTGTTTGTTTTATACGAAAGCAGTGTTTTAAATTACTCACTGGTAAAATCGATATTCCAGGAAAGTGTCTCCTCTCTGTGTGCCCTGGGTCGCACAGAGTTCCTCCACCCCTGGAACAGCTGCACGTGCCATGTTTGCTTTACCCAAACCCAGCGGGAGAGAAGTCATGATTTTCAAAGGATGAGTAGTCAGTTAATATCACTGACATCCCTTCAGGCCCTTGGACATGAGATTCTGTCTTCATCCTGGGGAATTCTCACCACCATTATTTCATACCCTCTGAATCCTCAGCTGTCAGAGAAGGGGAAACCTCACGTCGACATCCAGGGTTTGACCGCCTCCACCATGGAGATCCTGCTGGACTTCGTGTACACGGAGACGGTGCACGTGACGGTGGAGAACGTGCAGGAGCTGCTCCCGGCGGCCTGTCTGCTGCAGCTGAAAGGTACAGCTGTCACTCTCGTCCACGCAAGGTGGCCCTGGGGTGTTTCGAATGAAGGGTGTCACCTCAGTCACCGGTGTGTGCTGTCCGTGGCACAGGGGTCGGCTTGAGTGCAGTGGACGGGCCCCTCCCGGCATGAGCCTTTGGCTCCTCAGATTGTGTGCACCGGCTCTGGTCTCGGAAAGGGAGGTGCATTTCCTGCACGTGTGCGCCCAGCAGCCCTGCAGGGGAGGAAAGGAGAAGCCGGTGCTCTTTGCTGCCCACGCAGGGCGCTGGACAGACTGGGGGACTGTCTGTGGGAAATCCTTTGTGCCTTTAACTTTGGAAGCATACGAAGTGTGTAGTAAAACCTTTAATTGACACACAATTAACAAGTGTGAAGTGAAAGTGCAAAGTTTCCCCAGGATCCACAAAAGCCCCTTCCAGTGCCCAGTCCTCTTTCTCGGCCTCCGGGGAGGTGTCTGTGCCGTCCCTGGACGCGTGGCCGCAGCGGGCGGAGCACCTGCACCACCGCACAGCTACGCGGTCACGTCGCTCCCTGAGCTGCTCAGGCAGGGAGACGGCGGCAGTTGTTCGTGTCTGCTGTTTTTTCCTGCACTGGAGTCTTTTAGTACAGAAAAGACTTTCCGTACTGGCACTGTTTTCTTTTGAATTTTCCAGTTACAGTTGACATCACGTATTATATTAGTGTCAGGGGTACAGCGTAGTAGTTACACTGACGTTACTTGTGAGGTAAATTTCCCTGTGGAATAGCATTTAGGTGCATTGTGCTGAATGATCGTTGGTTTTATAGCTTGCCTCCCAAGCATACCGTAGGTGTTTTTGCTCAGTCGCACTGGTGTTCAGGGAAGCAGTGCCTCTTGCGGAAGCAGAGGCGGTTGCAAAGGCCTTGTCGGAGGGCACGTAGCGCCCAGCCCGGAGGCGGGGGTGCGGCCCTAGAGCCTGTGGCTCCGGTGCCCAGCCGGGGTTTCTCTGGAGCCGAGCAGAGAAGAGGCTGCAGTTGAGCATGGAGACCTCGCACCCTGGCCGAGAGCCCTGAGGCGTGTGCTCTCGTGTCTGCCCCAGGCGTGAAGCAGGCCTGCTGCGAGTTCTTGGAGAGTCAGCTGGACCCTTCCAACTGCCTGGGCATCCGGGACTTCGCCGAGACCCACAGCTGTGTGGACCTGATGCAGGCTGCGGAGGTGTTTAGCCAGAAGCACTTTCCTGAAGTGGTGCAGCACGAAGAATTCATCCTCCTCGGCCAAGGAGAGGTGGAGAAGCTGATCAAGTGCGATGAAATTCAGGTACAGACTTGGCTTTGGGCTACGGCTTCTTCAGACTAGGCCATGACAAACCTTGGGGAAAGAAGGTAGAGTTAACTGTGTTTCTGCAGAAGGGTGTCTTTGGGAGATTTATTTATTTTTACAGAGGGGAAGGGAGGGGGAAGGAGAGAAACATCGATGTGTGGTTGCATCTCATGCACCCCCCACTGGGGACGTGGCCCACAACCCAGGCCTGTGCCCCTACTGGGAACTGAACCGGCGACCCTTTGGTTCACAGGCTGGCGCTCAGTCCACTGAGCCACACCAGCCAGGGCTACAGCAGGGTGTCTTAGTCGAGTGTGCACGTTGGCCCCACAGGCTTCATTAAATGCCCTTGAAAATGACATGTCAGATGTATTTGCACATTTATGGGAGGGAGTTCACCACCTTCCTGGAGAGAATGTATGGTCTTGGCAGTTCAGAGTCACTGCTCTGCAGAGTGGACGAAGCAGAAGTTGGGGGAAGTGGGTTTCTCTGTTGCCTGTTCACCTTACAGGTGTCTCTCGTGAACACCTGCGACATAGCAGCCACCATGCTATGCTGGGGTCTGTGGATCCAGTTCTTGTTTTCAGAGAAGTCACAGGATGGTGGTAGAGACGACAGAAAACCAAAACTGATTTCCACAGAGAGTAATGAGAATAAGGAGCCTGTTCAGAGGGCGGACATTGCATGGAAGAAAGAGAGCAAACCTAGGTGCAAGTTAGATCAAAGAGGAAGGGACGAGGTTGGGGTCTGTGAGCAAGAGCTGAGCCCAGAGTGCCCCGAGGGGGGCGAGGGAAGGGGAGGAAGGGCCTGGGCCCTGGGCAGTCCGGCAGCGCTCAGTGCCGAGCCCAGCAAGGGCACGTTGGTCAGGGCAGCTCTGAGTTGTCCCGTGCCTCTGCACGGTTTTCGTGGTGCGTGGGTCTTAGGTTCGTGAGAAGTCCGGCTAGAGCTGTTTGGTGTCAAGGAGCCCAGGGCCTTCGCCTCCAGCTGTCCAGGCCTGTCCTCCGGTCGGCAGCCAAGGGGTTTTGTTTTCCCAGCTGGGAGAAACTCGGTTCCCCGAGAAGGCCAAGAGTTCCTTTTCTTTCTTCCCTCTTGCACTCTCCGGTAACAATGGAAATGAATTTTAAATGAGTGGATTCCCAGGCATTAGTGGCTCCTCACTTTAACGTGCTCGCAGCTCTTGCCCCTGCTGAACTCCTCTTTCCGGGGTCGTTGGGACGGGCGTCACGTGGTCAGATTACCAGCCTGCGTGAATCCCTCTCCCGCTCCGGTTGCTCTTCAGTAAAGCCCAGTCTCCGATGCTGTGCCTGGCCCTCGTTTACCGCTGCAGCTGATCTGCTGCTGTCCCCCTCCCCTCCCACTCACCCACCGCACCAGCCTCCTCTTGTGCCCCGAGCGGTCAGCGCTTCGCTCCGGGACAGCACCGTCGAACAGAGCACCCTGGGAGGCGGGGGAGGACCTGTGTCTGCTGTGCAGCTCGGTGGCCCCCTGACATGTGGCCAGTAGGACTGAGAGGCTGGCTTTTCAATGTAGCCTAATTCTGACGGAGGTGGGTACAGTTGCTGCACGTGACTGCTGGGCGGTTCGGCCCTGGAGTTTCTGCGTGTGCTCCTTGGTCAGCCTTGGAGGCCTCACCCCCCCCTCCCACCCTGCTGCTGACCGCTGCTCACCTGTCAGAGTCGGACGCGGTCTTGCTTCTGCAGGGAGGCCTTCCCCGACCCATCGGTCGGGCCTGGGGACTCCCGTGGTGTCCTGCTCCGGAGCCCCTGGGCTTTTCCTGCGCGGCACCTCACGGCAGCGCGGGGGGGCTCGTGTTCTGGCTGCACGTGACCTCCCCCCGGCAGGCGTGGCTCACGTCTGACTTGTCGCCACTGTGTGCCTGGCTCTTCCTAGGGGTTCAGAGAAGCTATCGAATGTGTGGACATTCTGGAACATTTTCTTGCTGTAGGCACTGCCACACTCGGAAAAGTGTCCGTCAGGATACACTCTGGCTGGTGGGAGGGACATAGGACTATCCTCTGCTGCTGTCCTCGGAAGGTCCTAGATGTCGTTATGCCTACCGCTGCTCCAGGGGAATAGTGTCCGTTTCTCAGGGCATCTTACCTCACCCGGTTTGTCACATGTACGCTTAGACCTGGGTGGTTATTACGTGTATTGCTTCAAGTGGCCCAGGGCTTGACACCTGGCAGTGTAGTGATGGGGTGGTGGCGACATCATCGGACGACATTAGGGGTGGGGGTCACCCCAGTGCCAGCTTTGAATAGGGCAACAGAGTCTCCCTCACTCCCTTAGGTTTCAGAAATGAGCAGGCAGAAAGGTCAAGAGTGGGAGAAAGGTTGGAGTGAAAACCAGCTTGTGACTGAGGGTGTACCAGGCACTGTCCATCTTAGATATTGTACCTACCTCGAGTGCAGCCTTTTTCCTGGTCTTAGTGAGTTCCGTGTGAGAAGACTGTTTTCCCAAGAATCTAGCTGTTTCTGGAAAGTGGGAACTCATGGTGGTGGGGGTGGGGACTAGGAAGGGAAGGGAGAAGCAGCCACAGCCACGTTCCAGGCTTGCGCGGGAATGGGCAGGGCAGAGACCTGCGAGAGTGAATGACGTCGTGCGTTGACAGGTGGATTCCGAAGAGCCGGTCTTTGAGGCCGTCATCAACTGGGTGAAGCACAACAAGAAGGAGCGAGAGGAGTCCCTGCCTGGCCTGCTGCAATACGTCCGGATGCCCCTGCTGACCCCCAGGTACATCACCGACGTCATAGACGCCGAGGTGAGTCACGGGAGACACGCAGGACCCCAAACCTTGAGGACCTCCTGCTACTTAATGTTGTGGCTTCACCTCAGTTTTTTAAATCATTTCTGGAAACCAACAGCGTAGTTACTGCCAGCAGCCTCCTGGAATCACAGGGTTTTAGAAACTGGTTTCGATATTAAGAAGTTAACTATCAGTACAAGTTAGTCATAAACGTGCTGTTGACACTTAAAACGTTAGTGGAGGCCACGGCCCACTCTGTTCTGTGTGCGTTCCAGCCGTTCATCCGCTGCAGTCTCCAGTGCAGGGACCTCGTTGACGAAGCAAAGAAGTTTCATCTGAGGCCTGAACTGCGGAGTCAGATGCAGGGGCCCAGGACGAGGGCTCGCCTGGGTGAGCTGGCCCCTTGGCAGAAAACTGCCCCTGCCTGGTGGCACGATGTGGTTGGAGGCAGCATTCCATGAACAGTGCAGAGACCTTGTTTCAGACCTGGTTTTAGTCTTTCATTGTGTTAGACAAGTCACTTTCGCTAGCCCTGAGCTTTCTGCCCCGTTTCACATCACTGTTTGGAGGACTGAATGAGACAAAGGGCACGGAAGCATTTCATAAGCTATCAAGTACTGTCCCAGTGTATCTGGAATCTGTGAACTGGGAATTTCTTCGAATGCCCTGTAGCACGGGGTACGCTGCCACCCGTCCCCCCCCTTTCTGGGTGAGGAAGGAAGGAGCTGCCACGGGTGCACAGCACAGGGTGGGGCGGTGCCCTCGCTGGTGACAGGGACAGTGACATGACCTACCTTTCTCCTCAGGAGCCAATGAAGTGCTTCTGGTGGTTGGGGGCTTTGGGAGCCAGCAGTCTCCCATCGACGTGGTGGAGAAGTATGACCCCAAAACTCAGGAGTGGAGCTTCTTACCGGTGAGTGAGGGCAGAAGCTGCTGTGAAGGAGGAGCTTGCTTGTCCCCGTCTCTGGCCCGAGGCCCTAGGTCATAAGTAGCCCAGCCCTGAAACAGAAAGCCTGGTGATTGCACGGCGTTCATTACAGCAGGGCCATACACACAGTAGGGACTCACGAAGTCGTTATCGACTATTTAGGTTAGACTCTGGAGATGCCGGTGGCCCGTGAAAGGTGACACCGTGGCAGCACCTCCCTGAGCTGCCTCACTCCCAGCATGTGCACTGGCCATGCTCTCTTACCCTGAGCTCGGTGTTAGGTCACACTGAGCACAGACGGTTGTGTCTCTCTCCCTTGGTATGTCTCTGTTTCAGTGGTGAATGAACAATAATAAGTCTGAGAAAAAATGTGGAACTTACTCCCTCAGTCCCCCTGACTCTTAGGGTCCTTGAGTCCTGGCCCTTTGATTAACAGTGTGGGAAACCTTCCACTGTGTGGACAGACCTCAGTCTGCAGCCCAGGGCCCCGAGGACGAGAAGGGAGTCAGGTGCTGGGAAACGGGAAGCCTTGGAGTGAGGCAGACAGGCGGGAGGCTTGACGTTCTCGCAGCTGGCGGGCAGCTGGAGGAGACCGAGGCTGCGCCTCTGCCTGCGGGGCTCCTGCTGGCCAGGGGAGAAGCCGAGTTCAGACAGAAATGGGGAGGAGAGCCCCCATGGGGAGGAGAGCGGGAGGCCTGCCTGACTCGAGCGCCCTGTGCCTCCTCTCTCCTGACTGCATAGAGCATCACTCGGAAGCGACGCTACGTGGCCTCCGTGTCTCTGCATGACCGGATCTATGTCATCGGAGGCTACGATGGCCGTTCCCGCCTCAGTTCGGTGGAGTGTCTAGACTACACCGCAGATGAGGACGGGGTCTGGTACTCCGTCGCCCCGATGAATGTCCGGCGAGGCCTCGCTGGCGCCACCACCCTGGGAGGTAGGCTTGGTGTGCGGGCAGTGCTTCCACCGTCGTGGCTGGATTGGGGGTCACCCCTCCTGGCCGTCTGGCGGGGACGTGAAATGGGGCACTGGTGAGGCCAGTATTCCTTTTGCTTTGGAAACAGACGTATTATCAAAGCTGTCTGGTGGTCACGGGCATTTCAGTGCCAACAGCTTGGTGGATCGGGTTGCAGCACAGTGAGGGGGAAATTGGCTCTTCGACTTCCGTGAACTACGCTGCTCTTTGAGGACTTCGAGGATTCCATCCAACCCGTTTTCACATCTTCACTGTGCCTTCATCCTTACTGACAAGATTTAACCCCATAGAAACACTCTTTTTGCTCCCAAACATTTGAAGGACTTGTGGGGAATTGGTAGAGAAGAGAGTGATCAGAAATCTCTCCCCCTCTAACAGTCTGTGATGTGTTCATTCTAAGCAGATATGATCTATGTCTCTGGAGGCTTTGATGGCAGCCGGCGTCACACCAGTATGGAGCGCTATGACCCCAACATTGACCAGTGGAGCATGCTGGGAGATATGCAGACAGCCCGGGAAGGCGCTGGGCTGGTGGTAGCCGGCGGAGTGATCTATTGTCTAGGTGCTGAGTCAGGGAGGCAGGGATGGGAGAGGGTGTAAGGGTGGCAGCCTTTGTGGGGGTGTGGCAGCCTTTGTGGGGGTTGGGCATCCCTTTTTTCCAGAATTAACTTCATAAATGGCCTTGAACTAAAACCCTGGTCTATCCCCGTTATTCCATAAACTGGAATTATCTTTTCATGGAAGCAGAACGTGGGATGCTATCAGGTTTTTCTTTGGATTACCGGAACTCTTGAGGGAGAGCTGAGGTTGAAGAATCCGTTGGAACACTCGGAGAAAAACAGGCTGGGAATTGACATCCGATTTGTCCTCTTTTCTAGAATGTCCTCTACTTTGTCTTTCAGGAGGATATGATGGCTTGAATATCTTAAATTCAGTTGAGAAATATGATCCCCATACAGGACACTGGACTAATGTGACACCAATGGCCACCAAGCGCTCTGGTAAGGCCCGTCAGATCTAAGGGGCAGGACAGTACGGCTGTCTGTCATGTGTCTGCTTGTGCGGTGGTGGCACTGTCACGGGACAGAGCCGACCAGAGTTGTATTTCCTCACTTCGACTCCAGTGAAACACGAGTCAGATTACATCTCCTCCTTGCCCATTCCTCTAGCATCGTGAGAGTGGAAACAGTTTCAACTTCCAAATCGAGTGTACACCTGAGAGCGGAAGCTTTCTTATTTTATTCACTTTTATGTCCTTGTTCCCTCCTTGCATTAAGAAAAATTTTTTTAGTATCGCAGGTTCGATTCCCAGTCAGGGCACATGCCTGGGTTGCAGACCACGGCCCCCAGCAACCACACATTGATGTTTCTCTCTCTCTCTTTCTTTCTCCCTCCCTTCCCTCTCTAAAAATAAAGTCTTTATTTAAAAAAGATTTAAAAAAAGAAACAACTCTTACAGTATTTAAAAAAAAAGAAAAAAATTTTACTGATTTTTGGGGAGAGAAAAAAACATGGATCTGTGGTTCCCCTTATTTACGCATTCATTGGTTGATACCTATATGTGCCCCGACTGGGGATCGAACCTACCACCTCGACGTATCCAGATAGTGCTCTATCCAACTGAACCACCCAGTCAGGGCCCTGCCTGCACTGTGCTATCTGGTGGAGGCTTGGTGTCCAGCACACATTACATGGATGAGTGCTGCCAGGCCTAACACACCTGCAGGTGCTTCCTGAGGTGGAGGAGCTGGGCTCCAGGTCAGAGAGCAGCTGCTGTTCTGCGTCACTTTCTGTGGGTAAAAACTGCTCCAGGACCTCAGTCACGGCACCTCTCCCCCTTCCACCTTCATTGCCTCCTTTTCTCCACTTCCTTCTTTTCTACCGATGAAGAAAGAGGGTCAGGGTCTGAATTGATGAGTGGAAGTGAGAACCATGTTGAGTTTTCTTTTCTCATTTCAACTCCCACCAGGTTTACAGGTGGAATAGCCTGTGCTGGACTGATCACGTCAGCCCTGTCTGGCTCTCGTGCGCATGCCTGAGCCCCCCCAGGAATTCAACCAGCCCCCAGTGACCGCATGTTCTTTCCAGAACTCAGACCCTCACTTCAGTATTAGTAACTTGCTGCACCTTTTTCCTCAGGTGCAGGAGTAGCCCTGCTGAATGACCACATTTACGTGGTGGGGGGATTTGATGGCACAGCCCACCTTTCTTCCGTTGAAGCATACAACATCCGCACCGATTCCTGGACGGCTGTCACCTGCATGACCACCCCACGATGCTACGTGGGGGCCACGGTGCTTCGGGGCAGACTTTATGCGATTGCAGGGTGAGGACTGAAAACGAGGCTGGAGCCGTCACTCGTAGGACAGCATGGTCCCACCCGCACAGCTGGGTGGACGCAGGGTGTGGGTCAGGGGAGGTGTCTCCATGGCATCCTCAGAGTGGGACACGCAAGGATAGGGACAGAATGCTCACTTGCCCCTTCTGCTTCTTCCCCACTCAGCTACGATGGGAACTCCCTGCTGAGCAGCATCGAGTGCTATGACCCCATCATTGACAGCTGGGAAGTGGTGACATCCATGGGGACCCAGCGCTGTGACGCCGGTGTGTGTGTTCTCCGAGAGAAGTGACCCTTGTTGGAAACCATCCAAAGCAAGTGACCAGTCCAGGGGCCAGTTGGCGGGAGAATCGAGATGGTTCCCAGAATGTCTGCTTCCCGCTGTACTCAGGGTGATTACAAGCACCGATGTCGTGATGCTTGTCCTTATTTGACACACACTGCCCCTCACGCTGGTACTTGTCCCCGAGTAGGCTGGGGAACGGACGCTCACGCATGGGACGAGGTGCACTCTGACTGGCTGTGAGAGGCCAGGTCCTCTCCTGGTCTAGACAGCACTTCCTGGTGGTTTCCAGTGCGCCGTGTGCTCAGGAGGGTTTGTACGTTGTGCCTCGTGTGCTGCTGAGAATGAAGGTGAGTACGACCTGCTAGACGTGGGCGGTGTCTGGCCAGTATCTGGATTGGAAGGGTGCCAGCTCGAGTCAGCTTGATAAAATGCAAGCCTTGTTTTCCAGGAAAAAGTATCTTTCCTAGTCTGCAGACAGCTGGTGACAACATAGTTCCACCCTGGAGGGAAACAAAGGGAAGAGTCCTGACAAAGCTTTGGGGCTCGGGAGACATCTGTGTGACACTCCAGTGAGGGTAGGGCTGGTGTACCAGAACTGGGTTTGGAGTAAGTGAAGTACAGTGGGACCCTGGTTCTCAAACTTAATTGCTTCTAGAAGACTGTTCGAGAAGCAATTTGTTAGAAAACTGAATCTCACAGGTGACTGATCATACAGACATCAGCATGAAAGGATTCTCAGGCTGACAACCAAAGTTCTGTGTGACAACCAAGATGTTTTTTCTGTGAACAGCTTGGTCAGGAACTGAACTCTGGGATGGGAGGCATTTGAGAACCAAGGTTTGGCTGTAACTAGAATTTGATGGTGTGTTGCCTGGGAGGCAGAGGAGGGCAGTTATTTAAAGGGTCCTCAGGTTTCCCAGGTTTTTCTGGACTTCAGTGTGGCTCCTCTTGGCCCTGGAGCCTGTGTGAGAGAAAACAGAACAAGCGTCAGGTGGGCAGAGGGCGAGTCAGGGAGGAGTAGAAGTACCCGTGATTTCATAATCATAATCGTTCTGCTCCCTGCCCAGCACAGCAGGGTTCTCAAGGGGGTGAGAGGCTTCCTTTGTTGAATCAGAACATGGTACTGCTGTTACATTGCCGTGCTATTTATTTTGGGACAGGGAAGGGGTGCAGCAGTGTGGAAGTTCAGCTACCTGGTATTGCCCTGTCCTTTTAAGGGTGCACTTCTGCTAAGGGTGGTTTTTACTGCTGTTGGGTACGTTTTGTCCTTTTCCTACTATAGAGTACCTGCATCTGTCCTGAGAGTGAACCAACGTTTACCCCAGCACAGAATAATTAAAGGGCAACCAAAGTCCCTGTGTTGGTCCAGTACCTGCACTCCCCATTTCTGAGCCACACTCAAGGCTCCTCTGTGCTGTGGAGTGAGATTCTTGCTGTACGGGTCCTGGGACTGTGGGAACGTGACAACCTAAACCAATGACGAGGCACTTGCCCTTTACTTTGAAATTCCTTTGTTCTCTCCCTGAATTTAATTGCCCTAAAGAGTTTGTTTCCTTTGTATTTTTTTAAGAAAATATTAAAAATCATCTGTCTCAAATGCCTTAAGAGTTTGCGATGAACCAGCACTGCCCGCAGACAGCTGGGGGACCAGGCATTGGGGGGCAGCTGTGGGTGCCAACTTCAGCCTGTTCACCTTGTGTCTGCCAGGTAGCTCCGTTGCTTCTCTGTTAGACACGGGTAAAATGTAGCACCTCTTTACCACCGGAGACTGACCAGTGCAACGTTTACCTGGATCTGCCACATTCTCTGACTCCTCTCTCACTGGGAAAACCCAAAGGGGATCAAGGACAGGCTCATTTAACATCCCCTTGAACTTTGGGGGTTTAGTCACCCAAACCAAACCCTTCTACTTGCTTCGGTTTATGGCCCATGAAACAGCTGTGCAGAAGGCCTGCAAAACTGCGGAAAACCCAGATGTTCCCAGAGCAGGGGAAGGAGAGCCAGAGAGGAATTTCTGTTCCCGGGAGAAGCCTGCCGGCCTCTGTGAGCAGGGCTCTGCCTGCTGGGGGCACGGCAGCTATGAAACCGCCCTCTGAGCAGCAGCCCGAGGAGGGCAGCGAAGGTGGTCCCTGGGGAGTTTCAGCCCGGATTCCGGAGTCGTCCGCGTTACACACACCGAGCCGCCCCGGTTTAGGCGCTGCCTCGCTCTTCCCCGCCGCGAACGGGCAGCCAGTCACGTGGTGTGCAGCCTCGGAGAGCCCTCGCTTCGCTCGAGTGCGGACGTTCCCCGCCGAGTGGTCTCAGCTGCTCCAGACCCTGTCCTCCTACCCACTCGGCATGAGGCCTCCCGCAGCCACCGCCTGCGGGCGCCCAGCCCCCGCTGTGGCGTCACCTTCCCACTGCGCACCGGACCCTGCAGGGCCGGACACAGCACACTTCCGGGAACGGGCGGTGGTTTCCGGCGTGAAATTCCAAGTTCCTGCCTGGGCCGCGGGCGTCTATCAGGCCCCGCCCCGCCCCCACTCTCTGCCTCCCAGAGGTCGTCTTCCGCTCGCACAAACCCGTCCCCGTTCTGCCCTCCCACTGCTTTGTGCCCGGTTGTCTGTCCCACGGCCTGTTCCGCTGTGTCACCTTCGGGGCCGAGGGCTGGCGTAGGGCTGGCGTGTGACTGGCGCCCACTGACCGCCGGGTCACTGACGGACAGAGAGACGAGGACTAGCCGAGGGGCCGTGGCCTGCGGCTCCGGACCTCGACTCTGCGCGGCCTGCGGCGACAGCCGAGTCCGGCCCGTGCGCCCCAGCGAGTCACCTCCGACCGAGACCTTCCTCACTGCGCCCTGCGGGGAGGGGCGACAGCCCGCAGGGAGGTCCCCACGACCCAGGGAGGTCCCCACGACCCGGGACCTCGGTCCCCACAGCGCGCCCGCGCCGTGCTGTGCCGCCGGCGAGTAGTCGCCTCGCCGGCTGGAACAGTCCCCTGCAGGAGCCCGGGCCCGACCCGCGTGCCTGCCGTTCCGTCGCCTCGGGAACGTCCCCTCGCGTCCCGGCCCTGAACTCGGGTTTCGGGAAACGAGGGACTCACGCCCTGCTTGAACGACTCAGCAGTCAGGCAGGCCCGCCGGCCTGGTGAGCATGGAGAGGACTTGTCAGCGCCGGACGATGACCCCGTCACAAAGCCGGCTGATGGCGGACACTCCCGGGGCGCCGTGTGCGAGTGCGTGCCCGAGCGCAGTCCTGTCGGGCTCGGGGAAGCGGACGCCTGCGCAAAAGGCGGTGGCTGCCCGCTCCGCCCCTTCCGAGCCCCGCGCCGGCGCAGTCGTACAAGACCGAGCTGCGCCTGCGCGGTCCGAGTCCCAGACGGTGGCGGCGGCAATGGAGCCCGCGGCGCCGCCGAGCGAGCTGGTGTCGGCGGAGGGCCGGAACCGGAAGGCGGTGCTGTGCCAGCGCTGCGGCTCGCGGGTGCTACAGCCGGGGACGGCACTCTTCTCCCGCCGGCAGGTAGGGCGGCCTGGCGCGGGGCTGGAGCCTCAGGGCCTGGGGGCCAGTCTCTCTCGGCTCCAAGTCCCGGGCCCTAATTCCTCTCCTGGTGCCGTCACCGGGAGGGAGAAAGTGGAGACAATGTGGTTTTAGCAAACTTGCCGCAGGGAAGTGGGCGTTCACCCCGTCTCAGCCGGCTTCGGTCTCCACAGGCTCCGCCCTGATGGCCTCACGCGTTGGGGGCCGGGGCTCCCGGGAGGACAGGGACGCGCAGTTCGGGGTGGGCGGGCGGTGCCCTTCCGGCACTCCGGGCGTTCGTGCTGCTTTCCCCGCCAGGCCGCCGCGGGCAGGCCCTCTCCCGAGCCTGCCTGCGGCAGAGGATCCAGATCCTGAGCCTGGGCAGGCCCTGGGGTGTTCGCACGGGGCCCAGGCTCGAGGGCACAGGCGTGGGCTGCACCTCTGGGTGGGGGGACTGTCGCAGAGCTTGCGGGCATGTTGTGAAAGCACCGGAAGTCCTCGCCGACGTGGAAACTGCAAACACGCTAACGGGTTTACTCTGCTGTAACGGTTTTTACTCTCATCTATGTTGTAGCGGACTTGCCAAGTTTTCTGCAAGGAAATGCGCTTGAAAAAGCAAACGGGGGCCTCAGCCGACTCTGGCCGAGTCGTGTCCCCCCGTCTCTGAGGAGACCGTCCTGCGTTAGGGGCCCCGGGGGGTCCTCAAAGCGGTCAGCCCACCTGGCCAGGGAGGTGCCTGCCTCAGGTTAGACAGGACTCTTGCTTCCACCGCGCAGTCTGTGCAGAACCCTCCCGGTTCCGGGTGCGCCCCCCGCAGCGATCCTGGGCGTCTCAGCTAGCGGCCAGACGCTGCTGCTCGGATCACAGGTGCGTGCGTGTCCACCTGTGGTCCTGGGGGCGTGGCTTGCAGGATTTAAACGCGGAGCCGGCAGAGCCGGGTTGCAGCTGTAGCGTAAATAAATGCTGCGGTAGGTAACACGCAATAGCTCGGGCGCGCACTCGGTGTTTCAGCCCGCACAGCTGCAAACCTGCTTGTTTTGCCCATCCTGGGAGGCGGGAGTTGGAGGGCCAGAGGGACCCACAAGGTAAGGGGCAGTGGGGAGGGGTCTGCCGCCCCTGTGCTGGGCACCTTCTGAGGGCGAAGCTCAGGCCCTCCCTGATTTTCTCCCCTGAGGAGCGGCCAGGGCATGACTTCAGCCGGCAGCAGAGGGGCTGGGCCAGAAATATTTGTAGGGACCCGGGTCCACAGAAAGTCACAGCCGGTTTCCTGGCACCTGAATTGTTGCCCCTCACGCTCTCTGCCTGCTCCCTTGGTCGCTGGGAACAAACAGTGCCTCAGGGACTCACTGCACGTCAGGTGAGGCAAACAGTGAGGAGAAGGGTGGAGTAACCAGGGGACCGGGGTGCTTGGCGGTGTCCTCAGGCGCTGCCCTGCTGACCAGCACCGACACCTGCTCTCACAGGCCAAGAGCCTGGAGGAGGGGGGCAGGAACTTCCGGGCTGGGCAGCCGCGCTCCTCCCCCCACCCCACCCCAGCCAGGGTTACCACGCCTGCCCCCCCTCCCCCACTGAAGCACAGCCCCCACTTCACAGCACAACTCCAGGCCCTTCAGTGCACACTGTCCCACCAGGGGAGGGGCGCCCACATCCCCGTCGAAGCCTTTAACTTTTCTGGACTAGTGTTGTGTGTTTTTAATTTTTTTTAAAGATTTATTTCTTTATTTTAGAATAAAGCACAGCTGGTCACGGTCCCTCTCCACGTCTCGTAAGAGTCAGGGCACAGGCCACAGGCAACAGAGGAGCAGCCGGGTCAGGCCTGCGGGTCTGATCTCTGCGCAGACTGCGCACAGCACCCAGGAGGGGTGCTGGCGCTCAGCGCGGCGGTCGTGTGTTCTCTCCCTGCAGCTGTTCCTGCCGTCCATGAGAAAGAAGCCCGCCCTGGCCGATGGCGGCAGTCCCGACGGCGACCTCCTGCAGGAGCACTGGCTGGTGGACGACATGTTCACCTTCGAGAACGTGGGCTTCACCAAGGACGTGGGCAACATCAAGTTCCTGGTCTGCGCAGACTGTGAAATCGGGCCCATCGGCTGGCATTGCCTAGATGACAAGAACAGTTTCTATGTGGCCTTGGAGCGCGTGTCCCACGAGTAGCGGAGGGGAGGGGGCTCTGCTCCTCCGAGTATAAGAGCTGCTTGTCCCCAGAGCCAGTGTGGGCTGGTGGAACAGTCCTGCTGCTACTTCTCTGCCCCAATTACAGTGCCACGCGTCCGGCGGGCGTGCAGAGGCTGCAGAGGCTAACTGCCCGCCTCCTCGGCCTGCTCACTTTGCGCCACAGCGTCTCCTGGGCGCCCCTTCCCTCGGTTCTGGACCGGGGCGTTTCTCAGATGTCCTGTCCTCCCAGCGCCCTGCTGGACTCTCCTTGACCCCAGGGCTCCCTGGGTTCCTGCTCCCGGAGAGCAAGCAGTCACCAGCCTTTTAGACAGAACAACACATGACAAAGATGCTCTTGAAACTCTCGTTCAAGACAGCGCACAGGTGTCAGAGTGACTGTTGTGTGGCTTCCTTTACCATAATTTATTCTTTTTCAGAGGTTAGCATTCACAAGCTTTTGTATTTAAACCATGAATCAGGACCACTTTGGACACACCTCCTGTACCAGGTGTGAGGGCCTCTGCTCGGGGCTGGCGGGGTTGGAACTTTCCCGGGGCTTTCCCGGGCCTCCCGGCGCCGCAGAGAAGGAGGGGCGCATGCAGGAGGGGCGGCCTTCTCTGCACGGGTCGGTGCTTCCTTTGCTCTCGGCAGAGACGCCTTGATGGAACCTGCTGGGCCTGCCTCCCCCAGGGCATCGGCTCCTGGGGGATCTCCCCCGGCCCCGAACACAGACAGACATTCCTCCAGCTGTGGGGCCGCTCTCTCGGAGCGGGCAGTGTCACAAACCTGTCTGACTTTCGCTGGGACTCTCCCCCATTCTGTCCTTTCTCTTCTGAAGTGCGTCACCTGGAGGGGGTCTGCGTGAGCGGGTTCTGGAGTCCCCCCCCATCACCCCCCTCAGACCCAGGGGACCTGCAGCTGGGACACACCAGCGACCTGCCTGGCCGCGGCCCCCGCCCCCCACAGCTGCTCCCCCACCAACACTGGGGCCTGGGGCTCGGCTTTGCGACCGGCCTGTGCCCTCCCTGCGCAGTCGGAGCCCGGGGGGGCTCCTGCAGAAAGGGGAGGCCTGTTCCAGACCAGCGGCCCCGTGGCCGCGACGCAGCATCTGCAGAACAGCCGTGGGAACCGTCCGCCCGGGTCAGAAGGCGCAAACCCGAGCAGATGCCTCACCGGAGACGGTGCGCACTCGCTGCAGGCGAACACCACACTGGGTGTGAACACTCCCAATCCCTCATGTTTGCACCGTCCAGAGGGTGCCGATGGTAGTGTGGTATAAATCCCTAATGCTCTTCTACGTGTGTGGTTTTGTAAAGCAAATACGGGTTCCTGGTGTCCCCTCTCACAGCATGTGACTCCTGTCCGTGGCGTCCACCGTGCGTGCCCCGTGGTGTCCGTGTCCTGCTGTGTTTCCGTGCGCACGTGAACAGTCCACTGCTGCTCTCCCGGGTTCTACATGCAGGGGCCGTGGCGTGCAGCCCGGCAGGGAGACCGATGCGCACAGCCCTCGGCCTGTCCTCGGGGCCCATCACTAGAAGTTGGGGTGCAGTGGGTGTGTGGGTCCACCCCCCTCAGAAACGGCCACACCGGCCCCCTTCCACATCAGAGCACTGGCTCCTCTGAGCCTTCCCCGCCCTGGGTGCCTGTCATCATTAAAAACATTTGCCACTTTTAACAGACGAAAAAAATGGTGTCTCCTTGCTTTGATTTGCATTTGTTATTTCCAATGAAATTTTATATACTTCCTGGTCGTTTGTACCTTTCTGAGAACTGCCGAACGTTGCTGCCGGCAGCCAAAAGCGCTGTTCCGTCTTCTCAGTCTGACTCGGAGAAACAAAGGTGCTGAGCCGTGGACATGAGATCCCCGCGCGTCCTTGGCGGGGAGAACGTAACGACGCAGAGGCAGCCTGAGCCCTGTTCCGCTCGTCTCCCGTTCCCGTCTCCCTGGCGCCCCAGGAGTGCACCCACGCCCCGAGTGGGTCTGTGGGCCTTCTGCCTCCCCAGCCTCTGCCTCCCGCGTCCAGCCATCGGATGCCGGGGGCTGCGGGGGTCGACGACCCCAATACTCAAGGGCTCAGGACCCCGGCTCAGTGCACTGACACCCGTGGGCGACCCCATGCAGCCCTGACCCCCACCCACTCATGGGGTGTGAGCCTCTAGTGAAAGCCCCCCAAGCTGTACCTGCAGGAATAACCCAGAGTCTAGGTCAATGTCAGGGAGCAGCACTTTGCCTGTCCTTCCTCTCAGCAGCCAGCAGAGGGCAGTAGAGGCTGGTACCCGTTTGGGGCTCTGCCTGATGAGGCCTTAGAGCCGCCCAGCCCCAGGGCCAGGATTCTGGAGGTCAGGGGCCTTGAGTCTGGGGCTAGGAACATGGGAAGTAAGAGGACCCTCATGGGCCTCTTGGGCAAGAGGGTGTGTACACGCCTCCTACTCTGAAAAGCGGCCCGGGGAGGAAGGAAGTAGCCCAGGGTGCAGCCACACCTGTTCTCAGGTGCCTGGGTGTCCGTCAGAGGACCGGAGGCAGCTAAGAGCTACCTGCCTGGACACACAGAGGCTCTTCTTCTGTGAGCTCCACAAGCCCCACTGCCAGGCTCTGCAGGTGGAGCTCCTCCCGGGGCCGCACTGCTCCCCTGGTGAGACCCACGGAGAAGACGAGACCCTCTCCCTGCGCTGTCCGTCTTCACTCCTCAAAGCCCGGCTCCGTCTGACACCGACACACCCTCCTTCCCTGTTTGGGCTCCTCTTCGGGGAAAAACACCTTCTTGGCCGTATTTCTGCCTGCGATTCTCCACTTAAACGTGACGAAAACGCTCCGTGTTTGAAACAGATTTTTGTGACGGGCAGTGAGAAGTGGAGACTTCACAACGGCTGGCGTTGCTGGAGCCCTCGGTCCGTTCTGTCCGACTGTCCAGTGTGCTTGTGCCACATGGTCCCCGGCTTTCCTGCCGCCTCCGACGCTGGCAGGGTCTGCAGGGGCGTCCTCGGTCTCAGTCCTGAGATGGGTGGTTCACAGCTTCTCTCTCTTCGTCGGTCTTGCTAGAGGCTGGTCCGTCCTATCGGTCATTTAAAAAGTAGCTCTTGCTGTGGCTGGTGTGGCTCAGTGGATTGAGTGCCGGCCTGTGAACCAAATGGTTGCCAATGCGATTCCCACTCAGGGCACATGCGTGGGTTGTAGACCAGGTCCACAGTGGCGGGGGGGCGGGGGTGAGGCAACCACACCTTGATGTTTCTCTGCCACTCTTCCTCCCTTCCCCTCTCTCTAAAAATAAATAAATTCTTAAAAATAAATAATTAGCTCTTTGTTAAATTGGTTTTCTTTATTTTGTTTTCATGTTCCCTGATTTCAGCTCTTACTTCTACTATTTTCTAGCTTCTGTTTGGGTGGCAATTACTTTGCTCTTCTTTCTCTTGAGTCTTGCGATCAGTGGGCAGATCAGTGAGCCCTGTCTGCCTTCTTTTCCGGTGGGAACATTTAGTGCTGTGAATTTGCCTCTCAGCACTGATTTAGCTGCGCCCCACAGAGTCTGATGGGTTGTATTTTCACTTTTGTTCAGTTCAATATATGTGTTCATTTCCCATGAGTTCCTCACTATCAACTTCAACTGGTCCACCCAACCGAGGAGCATCGTCCAGCGAAAAATCTCCAGGACAGAACTTCACAAACCACTCTTGACACGCCCGATCAGTCACAGCACCTTCTCCACACACAGCACCCATCTTTATTTTTACATTTTTACCTTTCTTGAAAAAACAAAGACTAATATGTCGAAAATGTTGCTTATTTTCTTCCATCTTCAATATGAAAATGGCTACACAAAAATTTACTACTTTTGATAAGTTTTTTGAGACTTCATGCTGATATGACAGTTGTCACAACACAATCTAACAAAGTGGTTTCAAATGAAATTAAAGACAACTAAGCACTACTAGAGCCAGCTTATGGAAAAGGCAAATGGACTTTTTTGACTGAACTTTCTTGCCGAATGAACGAAATAATGGGCCAATCGACTGAAACTTCAAGCCACTGAGCAGACTTCTTGGCCGACAACAAACTTTCTGGCCACCGAACAAACTTTTTGGTGGATGGAACAGATTTTCTGGCTGAACAAATTTCTTGGCTGAACAATTTTCTCGGCCAAGCGAACAGACTTTCTGGCCAACTGAATTATGGGGCCAGTTCAATATAACCACATAGGTAGTTAAATGCAAAAAGAGGGAAAAGAATTACCAGGCAACATTAGAGGAAGGAAAGCAGGAATGACTACATTCATTTCAGATAACGTCGACTGCAGAGCAAGACCATGGCCGGAGGCAGAAAGGGACATTACATTTCGATAAGGGATCAATCCACCAAGAGAACACGACCCAAATTGTGTGCCCACCAAACAGACAGACTGCAAAGTGCAGGAAGCAAAATCTGGTAGAACTGAAAGAAACAGACAACCCACAAGCACCGTGGGAGACTTAACTGCTCCCCCTCCCAACAACTGATCACAGAACAACAAGGGAGAAATTGGCAGAGAGAGAAGAACTCAACAAACACAAAGATTAATACATAACTCATCCGGTTTGAGAGGGATAATTTTAATAACCCTGGAATTATTTTTAAAATTGCATTCATAGTTTAAAAACTCCTCCCAAAAAATCCCCAGGCCCAGATGGTTTCACTGAAGAATTCTAAAAAACATTCATGTAGATTCGAGGCTCTTAACTTGGGGCCCAAACCCCCCAGGCACTGAACATACACACACTCTCAGCAGGAGAGGAAAAGTTCCGTGTTCTGGGAACTCCACGCTCCAGGGCCCGTGCCCTGGGCTCCGCCTCGGCCTGACGTCCGGCTGTCGTGTGGCCTCCGAATGAGTCGGGGTGTCCGTCCCAGACAGTCAGTCCCTCGGGGACGGGCACTGTGCCTGTGTCGTGCAATCTGAGCTGGACGGACGCGAGTAAACACGACATCGGGGGCTTTACACAAAGTCTGACTGTGGACTGTGAAGGGGAGGACTCACCCGTGGAGATTCCTCAGGGGTGACAGTCGTTTTGGACAGTGGTGGACACGGCCCTGGACCAGGACAGGGCAGCCACAGGGCACCTCCTGCTGGGCAGTGTGGGGTGGCCACGGCCCAGGTAGGGGTGGGCACTGAGACCCCCTGATGCTCAAGAAACTCGAGGGCTTTGCTGCCTTAGCGACGGGCGACACGGTCAGTGCAGAGCCGAGGCAGCTGCAGGGCTCATGGTGGAGAGCAGGCCACCCGCCAGGGGCCACCCCGTGAGGCGGCATGCCCTTACACCCGGGCCCCCGGGAGCAGGCCTCGCTCAGCCCCTCAGGTAAGGAGGTGGCTGCCCAGGGCCCCTCCTGAGTCCAGGCAGCAGCTTCAGCCAGGTCACGGCCAGTCAGCTTGGGGAGAGCCCCCCTCCCACCGCCTCCTGGAGCACTGCGTGAGCGTCCTGCAGCCCCTCCCCTGCAGAACCTGGGCCAGGGAAGGGCAGGCTGGCACGGCCGGGGCGCAGCCGGGGCCCCAGGCGTCCGGGGCGCCGTGGGCCGGGCTCTGCGGGCAGCTTGGCAGGGACTCCCCTGAGGGTCCTCAGAAGCCTGCTCCGCACCCACCTCCGGGCTGCACAGGGAAGACGGGGTCCAGGGGCGGGGATGCCATGGGGCCACCGCAGACTCCAGGCAGACTGTCTCCGGCCTTCACACCCACTTTTCTCGGTCTGTAAAACAGGGGGTGCCCCCCGAGTGTCTGTCCGAAGACTAAAGCGGACATGGGTTCCTATGAGCTTTGTGAACGAAAAGCTAGGGGTCACGCCCTCATTTGGCAAACGCGCCCCGAGTGTGGGCAGTGCGTCCGAGCCCGCTGTGCAGCAGACAGGCCCGAGAGGCAGCTGAGCCGGCCCACGGACAAGGAGCCCCGGCACGCCCACCCCTGGGGGCTCTCCTCTCTCCCCTCTGCCCTTCGGAGGCACTCCTGGTGGCCAGTGCCCTCCCAGGGCCGGACCCCTGTGGACAGGTATGGGCGTGAGCCTCCGGGACAGGCCGGGACAGGGCCGGTTTGAAAGTAGGAGACCACAGGGGTGGGAGCACTTTAACTGGAGAACGAGCAAGGTTTGGTAAAAGCATTTTCAAGAAGCTGTTCAAAGTGATGCCATGCAAATGCTTCACGGGCCACTCCTTTGAAGGCGCTGGTTCAAGATTTTGAGTTTAAATCTTTTTAAAGTATTTTATTTATTTTTAGAGAGGGAAGGGAGGGAGAGAGAGAGAGAGAGAAACATCCATGTGCGGTTGCTGGGGGCCATGGCCTGCAACCCAGGTATGTGGCCTGACTGGGAATCCAACCTGCAACACTTTGGTTCTCAGCCCGTGCTCAAATATTTTTAAAAAATAAAATAAAAAGAATGAGGTGGAAAGATGACCGCTGAGCACCCGTCCTCACAGGTCGGGAAGGGCTCAGAGGGCGTGGGAGGTGGCGGCGGGCCAGGGAGTGCACTGCGATGAGAAAGTGAAGGTTCAGCTGCAGGCCGCTCGCATCCAAGCTGGCCAGGAAAGGCAGGAAGTGGACGGTCCAGTTAAGGGGTTCGTTTAAGGCCATCGCTACTCTCCTGGACGTCAAAGTGTGACTCCTAATGGGAGTCCCTTTCTTGGCCTCTTGCGGTGTCCACTCTAGGGACCCCCCATGGTCTGCCCGTTCACCCTTGCTGCCCCGTGACCCCTCACGCCCCCCGACTGTGTGTGAACTCTGGAATGTGCACCCGCACCCACAGCACCCGCCTTCGTGACCGAGACCGGCCCCCAAACCGGGCTAAGCTGCACGTGCCGCAGGGAAAGGGGCCGCTTGTGCCACGTGTCTGGGTGCAGAAGAGGAGGGACGGGTCTCCTGCCGTCTCCGCGGCACCGAACACGGGCCCGAGCCTTCTCCCTCGCGTCCAGTCGCCCAGGCAGGCCGGAACAGAGGGTCTCCCAGGCTTTAATTTTTCAGACGCTCGCCAACCTGTCTCCAACTGGGAGCCGCTGTCCTACCCTCGGCCCGCTCCTCCCAGAGGTAAATATGCCTGACCAGGAGCCCGCCAGCCTGGTGGGCGCTCGCCACCAGCCTCACGCAGCTCACGTCCCGCCCCGCGCTCCGCGGGACTATCTCCTGATCCAGCTGCCCCTCCAGGAGGGGGCCCAGCACGGCGAAGCTGGTGCAGTACTGCGGCGTCCCCTCCGGCTCGTAGCCCAGCTCCACCCGCCCCCTCTGCAGGGCGTGCTTTCCGTCCACCACGGTGCCTGTCAGCACCTGCACCCGCCGCAGGCTGGCCGGGTGGTTCAGGATGACGGTCAGGTGGCTCTCTGCGCTGACGTTGTGGGTCCAGAAGAAGGACTCGTCCAGAGTGTAGGCCTGCCAAGGGAAATGAACCCCCAAAACCCTCATGTCCGTGAACACTGCTCCCGGCGGGTTGTGGGGGCCTCGGGGCACCCTGTTCCGCGGGGCTCCAGCTGCGTGGCTATCACGGGCACTGAAGTAGGAGCCCCGGCGGTAGAAGAGGAAGGGCCTGCTGAGGACGGCGTGTCTCTGGGCCAGGAGGGTGCGGAAGTGCGGGAGCAGCTGGTCCAGGGGCTTCTCCTTGTGGAAGAGGAGGAGGAAGTGGGCCAGCAGCGGGAGGTCCCTGCCATGCAGGAGCTTGCCCAGCAAGCCCAGGTTCGAGAACTCCAGCAGCACCCACGGGGCCCTGCTCATGTTGCCCACCCTCCCTCGGATGTGGGTGACGAAGTTGGGGGTGCAAAAGGCATCGTCCTCCAGCAACAGGAAGTAGTCAGAGAGTCCTGCAGCGAAGCTCGTGAGGAAGGCGTGATCCACATTCTGCTTGGAGCAGGCGTCCCCCGGGTAGTCCTCGTCCTCAAGGTCCCCCGCGGGGTAGGCATCCGGCAGGGTGTGGATCAGCACCAGCTGCCCTGCCAAGATCTGCGGGCTGAAGAGGGTTGAAACCTGGGCGGCGGTCTTTCTGAGCCAGGCAGGGTCGGAGTCGGCCAGGTGAACCAGCACCGTGAGACGTCTCTGCTCTGCCTTGGAGGAGGCTCGGAACAGGGACACCAGCGTGTGCAGGAGGCCACTCCGACCCTCCGGGCCTGGCACCGAGGAGAGGCCCACCGTCAGCCATCCTGGGGGAAGCAGAATGGGGACCGTGGTGAGGGCGGCTGGGTGGTGGGAAGGTGCTGGGGGTTAGGGTTGGGGTGCTCTCTGGGGCCTTCTCTCCTCCTCTCCTGTCCGTCTATTTTTTCCACTCGCTCTGCCTTCAGATGTATTTTATATTTATTTTTAGAGACGGGAAGGGAGGGAGAAAGAGAGGGAGAGAAACATCAGTGTGTGGTTGCCTCTCACACCCCCGCACTGGGGACCTGGCCTGCATCCCAGGCGTGTGCCCTGACTGGGGATTGAACCAGCGACCCCTTGGTTTGCAGTCCAGCACTCAGTCCATGGAGCCGCACCGGCCAGGGATGATTCTGTCTTCTGGTGCAGGGGATGTTTAGGTCCTTGCTCAACAAAGTGGAGGCCTTATTCCAGCAATGTGGTCTGGATGTCCACCAAGAATACGGAGTCAGGGCCCCTGCCTCAAACTGACCCGAACAGAACCTGCACTTGAACAGCGTCACCAGGTGCCCCGTGTGCGCACTTCAGCTTCGAAGGACTAAGCTTTGAGGAGCCGAGTCCCCGTGGGCCTCCCTGAGTCTGCTCGGAGCCAGACCCGTCTGGCACAGGGCTCCAGTGCTCAGCCAGCATCAGCTGTCTGTGTCGGCCCAGCCCTCTTCCCAGAGCGCTCCCTGGGAGACGATGTCTCAGGAAGGGCACTTCTTGTCCAGGTCTGGAGCCCAGGGTTCTCCTTGGCCCGTTCCCACCACTGAGCGTGTGGCCTCCAGCAGGTCCCTTCAGCCCTGAGCTGAGTTCCCAGCCCGGGAAACGGAGGGCGGTGGACCCTGAGACACAGGCCCATTCAAGGCCCCGCAATCTCAAGTCCAGTGGCTCTGCTTCCCTCCAGCAAGCGACTTAGCGTCCTGGTGGGGAGGGGACTGTCGGCCACATTCAGCCATTCCCTGCACTGCCCCGCCTTTCCTTCTCCCCTTCCTTCCTTCCTCGCTACCTTACTTCTGGGGACGTCCGCGCCTCCTCTGGGGACCCCATTCCCCTCCGTGGAACTTACTCTTTCTTCTCTGCTGGACTTTTTTCATATATTGGAAGGTGAGATTCTGCCAGTCTTCTCGTGATCTCGGGTCCTTCCTTCTGCCGTCACTGTCCTGGGGCATTGACAAAGCAAAACATGCCTTTTCTTTCACGACAAGGACAAGGTTTAGCCCTAGGAGCTTCCAGAAACTTCTCCAGGGAAAGAGGGGGAGTGGATCACTCTCCCCAGGTGAGCCCAGCACATTCTCAGGATGTCTGGCCACTGGCCAAAGGACCCAGAGCTCAAGCAGTGTTTGCTGTCTTTCTCACCGTAACACACTTGGGGGAGGGATGCAACTTCTTCATGGACCGGTGGGTCCAGGCCCACCCCCACTCCCTCTGGAGCTCCCTGCTCCCGGCGAATGGGGCAGGCACTGCTGGGGGTCTGCCTGCCCACACCCTGCCCACCCGATGGCCTCAGTCCCCACACGGAGAGCAACGGCTGCTACTTGGCCTTTGATGGGCGTCACGGGATCATCGTCGATTTCGCTGGAGACCTTCAAGGTGATGAAGAGCCACAGGAGCTCGAGGGCCACCAAGGTTAGGAGGCAGTGCCTGACGGAGCACCACATGGTGCCGGCTGGACACGGCTCCTGCGGCAGAAAGCAGCCGGCGGCTGGGGGCTGCCCCTGCCCCGGGCACGTCTCCGCTTCCCGGTGTCCCCTGGAAGCCGCCCCCACCCTGCTCCTCCTCTGTGTCCCTGTTCCCTCATTCCCCAAGTCTGCTCTATTCTCAGTCGGGGCGGGGGCCTGCCAGGGTGGCACAGAGCTCTTCTCACCGCCAGGAGGAGGGGCCTCTGTCCCTCTGCCGATTCTCTCTGGGGCCCCGCAGGGAGGTCCCACTTTCCCACAGCGCCTCCTTCTCCAAATGGGGGTCGGCCGGGGCTCTGGGACGAGGCTGCTTATCTCGGAGAACAGATGGTCGCCACCCAGCCTGCTTTTGCAAACCAAGTGGAACCGTTAAACTAGATGAACTTGAAGGGGTGCTAAGTGCTAAGGAATCGGGTGGCTTTCTTGGCTTTTTAATAAATGGTATCGTTCCCTTATTCCAATTTTTAATGTTACTCACAGACCTTGATTAGAACGTGATTCCATGAACTCGGAGTGAAAAAGTCCTTTCTCCAGGGCTGGGCTGTGGGACTGCAGGCTGGCCAAGCCTCAAAGGCCAGCGGGATGGTGGGGGGTGGGGGTGGCTTTCTTGCTCTCTGTCCTTCTGCTTCTGAATGATCAGAGGAAAGTCTTTAATATGCTCATCACCAGCTCGCGATTCTTACCCCGCATATTCAGGACACAGAGGAAGTACCAGTCGGGAACTTCTATGTTCCTGGGGCTGTAACATTCTCTGATCTCCCCATTGTCTTTCTTCCTTCCCTTCTTTCTTATTTTCAGATTTTATTTATTTATTTTTAGAGAGAGGGGAAGGGAGGGAGAAAGAGAGAAACTTCAGTGTGTGGTTGCCTCTCGCGTGCCCCCCACTGGGGACCTGGCCCACAACCCAGGCATGTGCCCTGGCTGGGAATCGAACCTGCGACACTGGTTCACAGGCCGGTGCCCAGTCCACTGAGCCACACCAGCCAGGTCCGATCTGCCCATTTTCACAGATGACTGCCAGTGGAGTATTTTGGTGGAGGGTAACAGGCTCCTCTCCTTCAACCATTTGGCTTTTCGGTAGGAGTTATACAAATAATCCTTATGTGGGTCTCACGGATTAAATTTTTCTTACCTGGTTCCCTTACGCTAGGACTTTCAGTGAGAGGTGATTCAGACACAGACCCCTGCACGTGAAACAAACTGGCTTCTCTGCTCTAGAACAGAAATGCGCGGACGCAGACGCTGAGCGGAAAGGCCCTCCAGCAGCGGTCGGCGTCTCTGCCCCCTCGGCTCCTCCACCTCCTTCCCCGGTCCCTCTGGGGGCCCGCCGCCCTTCAGCCCTCAGACTGCCACCGCTTCTGGGGTTGGGGGGGGCTGGAGGCAGGCAGACCCGTGAGGGGGTGCTGAGGACCGTCCCTGCGCAGGGCCCAAGGGCTGGCATGCCCGGGAAAGCACACTGGGGCCTCCCAGGTCCCCGCCCTTGAGCTGAGCTGCCTCTGTGATGTGATGTGACTCTTCTGAGCTCCCCGCCTGCCCGTCATCAGAGGTGTGCCTGGGCAGGCCCTGCCTGCAGAGGCCGCTCAGTCACTCACTGTGATGCGTCCGGAGGAGCAGCCCCACTGTCTTCAGGGAAAAGAGATGGGAGCCCGCTGGGCCCCACGGAGGGGGAGCCCAACTCCCACTCCCCCCCTTCTGATTCTCGCCCCCCCTCACCCTTCTGGGCAGGGGTCCTCTTCTCCTCTGCAGCATCCACACCCCCCCACCCCGCCGAATCCAGGCTCTCTCCAGTCTCGCCCCATTCCTCGGTGACCCTGCCCAGCAGAACTCCCTGAAGCGTTGTCTTAATTAGTGAGTCCCTGTGCACTCCACATTCCCTCTCCTCCTCTCACCGGCCTCTCTGCACCTTTCACACAGCTGACTTCTGCCTCCTTGGAGCCCTTTCCTGCCCGACACCCATCACCTGCCACATAGGCCGTCCTTCCCCGGCTCACCCTCGCCCCAGGCGAGTTGGCTCCCTCCTCCACACCCACCTGGGGAGGCCTCGCCCAGGCCTGCGGCCTCAAGGGCTTCTGCTCCTACCGGACAGACAGTGTGTGGATTTGTATCACTACATGCCCAGTGTACAGACTGCTGACTCCCAGCTGACCGACCTCCAGCCCTAGCCAGGGCCTGAGATCTGGGCTCCTCGACTGGACTGATCAGCATCTGCACTCAGGTGGGCCAGAGGGACTCAACCTTAACAGAGAGAAAGTGGAAGGACACCGCCCGCCCCCAGGTCTCCTCCTCCCCACTCTCCCCCACCTCAGGAAAGAGTGCTGCCGCTGGCCCGGTTCCCCAGCAAAGGAGCCTGTCACCCTTGACTCCTCTGTCCCCTCCACACTCCAGGCTACTTAGTCCTGTTGCCTTCTCCTCCAGATGCATCCAGAAGGGGACCCTCTCTCACCGTCTCACTGTGACAGCGTGGTCCGAGTTGCTGCCACCTCCTGCCTGGACTAGTGCAACCCCCCCCCCCATTCTAATGGGCCCCTCCCCTCCCCTCCCCCTTGTTGGCCTGCAGTCCCATCTCCACAGGGCAGTCGGAGGCCTTTTAAAATTGTAAGTCAGATGGTGTCCCTCCTACCTACAAGTTTCCGATGGCTTTCCTTTTTGCAAGCAGGAAAAATGCAAATTCCTGACTATGTCTGAGGAGATCCTTTCTGGAGTAGCCCTGTCTACCTCTGACTTTACCCCCCACCCTGGCTTTTTGGCGAGGGGCCGCCCCTCGGAGGGACCACGCTGTTTCTGGGCTCAGGTCTTTGCACATGACGAAGATTCTTTTAGTCTCCCCCCCGTAGCCTTTCCCATCGCTGCCTCCTTCCCAGCCTCGAACCCGAGCTCTGCGGTTCCTTCTTCTACCTCAGCTCACCTCTCGCAGATTCTCCCAGTGGTCTGGCAACCATTCTGTTTTCCTCAGCGTCTATTTCTATCTCGCATGTAGTGCTGATTGTCTGTTCCGACCCACTAGACTGGAATGTGAGCCCCTGAGGGGCGGGGCTCAGGTTCAGTGCTGCACCTGGAGCTTGGTGCGGGGTTCCTGGCCCAGAGGGTGTGCGCAGCCAGTGTTGTGAGCTCACGCCAGCACTCATGCGGGCACCATCTCTTCCTCGAGGTGCAGGAGCAGTGAGGAGGGCCTGTCGGCCCGCAGAGAAGGGGTATGGGCTCGTGGTTAGGAGCTCAGACTCTGGATTCAGCCAGGCTAGGCCAGAACCAGATTCTGCTGAACTGACTGACCACGTGGCCTCTTTGAACCCCAGTTCTCCCTCAGGTTGAGGGGTCCACTTCCCTTTATTCCTGAGCCCCACACCAATTTTTACTTTTAGATTCTTACACAGACGTTCAGTACCTTTCTGAACCATACCATCGGATTCCCACTCGTCTGAGGACTTTAGAGCAAACAAAAACCAGAGGAGGGAGGGGGGAAAAGCCCTGAGCCCCGCCCCCACCCAAGACTCGGTGCTATCCTGGGTGTGGGCTCCAGATGTTGCTGGAAGTCCCAACTGTCCTTTGAACCCCAGGGAGGGGGTGGGGCAGGAGCTCGCCCCCCCAGTCCAGCACTTTTCCAGGGTCTCTGCTACCGCCCCTTTGCTAACTACGACCCTTCAGGAGGTCAGCAAGCTCATCGCCCCACCAGCCTCTCCAGGGAGGCATCTCTGCACAGAACAGTTCGGCCACAAGCGTGTTTGGTTGGCCCACACAAGTTTTTTAAAAAATTCAACTTAAGATCGAACATTTAAAAATTAGGAGAGCCTTGGCTGGTGTGGCTCAGTGGACTGAGCGCCGTTCTGGGTCGCCATTTTGATTCCCAGTCAGGGCACAGGCCTGGGTTGTAGGTCAGGTCCCCAGTTGGGGGCATGAGAGAGGTACCCACACATTGCTGTTTCTCTCCCTTTCTTCCCCTCTAAAAATAAATAAAATCTTTAAAATTAAGGGAGCTTGTACGAAAACCTCAACCTTGGCTTCTCTTGAAAAATGGCAGTTCCCAGCCACCCTGGCCAGCCCGGTGATAGCCCCGGGGGCTGGACGGGCTCTCTGCTGACGTCGCTCCCTGAAGCCTGTACCCTTTGGGCGTCTGAGTCTTTGACCCCTGCTCTGAGTCCGGTCCTGGGAGACGGTGCTGGATCCTGGTCCTCCGTGGCGCCTCCAGGAAATAAGGAGCTCCAACGATGGGGCACACAGTGACCCCTGGGGTGGGAGGGCTGTGGGCAGAGGTGGGAGGAAGGTGAACAGAACAATGCAGACAAGTGAGTGATGAACAGTGGAAAACAAACTGAAGAGGTAAGAGATTCTGACGGGTTTTTGTGCAGGAGTAGACAGTGTTCTGGAGAACTTTCAGGAGACGGGGGCGTGGCCAAAATCCAGAGTAGAAGGGTAAGGAGTAAAGAAAACTGACTGCCCCAACTGGATCTTCTTGAAAGCTGCCCCACGGCAGGAAGAGCTGACTTCAGAGCAACTTTTTTCCCATTGAAGGTCACAAAGTATTAATAGGTTACGGTCAGGATGGGCGGGGTAGGACAAAATGGCGGCTGAACTACAACCATGGTGGCTGAACTACAACCCGGAAAAGACGGCCGGCTTTGCCAAAGCGGATAGCAACCTGAGCCCGAGGAGAACCACCAATGATATATTGCCGCTTTGTTCAAAGGGGACCAATCCCCAGCTCCCACGAAGAGAGCCAACCAAAATACCCCCCCCCCCCATATTCCCTGCTTGGGCGGGACTTCCTCGGCCCCAACCTGCAGACCAGGGAACCTCGCCTGGGTGCGCAAACCCCAATAAAGCTCTATACTGCCTAACTTTGTGGCTGATTAGCATTTATTCCTCAACGGAGCCTAAGAAAACCTTTCAGTTACAAACCCAACTTCACGGGTGTCAGCCAGCATTGCTGTCTAAGGGCAAGTGTTGTGTTGTAAAGCTGCTGGTACTGGCAGTCAGTCAAACAAGTG